ACTGAAAGCCTGGCTTCGGGTCTCTAATCCCAGACTCCGTTCACAAGCCAGTGCCATGATACTCTGAATTCTTTCAGACAAAGACTGCCTTATTTTTCCTGTCATTCATCCATCTCTTCATTAATTCCCTCATCTTATTCCTACCGGAATCAAGATGCCCACAAGAATGTAGGTATTATATTGCTTGGATATAGAAGAAATATAGAAATATGTATTTATAATAAAAAGATAAATTATACGGAGATATTTTATGTATGTTTGTGTATATCTATATGTACATGTACATAGTTAAATAGAAGCCCGTAACAATAAGATTAGGAAAAATACAGATTAACTAGAAGGTCAAAATCAGGGAGAGAGTTAAATACACATTCAGGCCATAGAGCTGGACACAGTTTACTGTATTTGAAGCACTGATTCAGCTCTGAGCTAATTAGCAATCAAAGCAGGAAAAGATATTATGTACACGGTTCACGTGGTCCGTAATGAAAAGGGTGGCAGACGCCGAGCGCTTTTCCAGGCAATTAGATCTGAAAGAAATTTCCTGCCTGGGTGGTCATCTGCAGGCCCTGAGTGGTGAGCAGATATGTGGCACATATGTCACTGCTCCTGCTCCTGCGGTGGACACCACTGATCAGTCACAGAAGCAGAGGGACCTCGCGGTCCTTCCAGCATGGCGGTCCAGGTGGCCAGGACAGGGATGGGCGTCGGCGCACGGACGAAGGCGCCTTGCTGGCCCAGCGCTGGGGGCCAGGGAGGGGGCGATAATCGTGAGGAGAGCCACCTGGAGTTGTGGCGAGCACCTCTGCAGGGCTGACAGAGGCGAGCGTGTCCTCGTGACTGTTGGGGGTGTGTTTGCTGTCAGACCCTCTGGGAGCCGGCTGGAGTGACCTGTCAGGGCCATGACAGTCAGGGAGATGTTTGTCTGCAGAGGCATGGGACACACTGGAAATTTCTCACTCCTCACAGTCACCCACTTGTTCCACAGATATTTAGCTACTACGTGCTGAGAAAGTCATCTGACCCAGTGTCCTCCCCTCTCTGGTCCCAGTTGAACTTGACTTCCTCAGAGACGCCTTCCCTGACTCTCCCTCTGCATCAGAGCTCACCCTGCACCTTTCTCTCAGAGCCTGTGTTGCAGCTGTACTGATATATTTATCTCTGTTTGTGTGTTTAGTGTCTTTTCCCTTCCGAGACCTGAGTTTCAAGGTGGCAGGGACAGCGTCTGTTGTGCTCTTTGTATCCTCGGCCCTCGCCCAGGGTCCAGCACATAATAGGTGCTCAATACACATTTGCGGAATGAACGAGTGAAAGAATAAACAGGACACAAAGATGAAGCAGACACAGACTGCCTAGTAGAGGAGAAAGCATGTGAATAGAATATAAGGGGACAAATGCTCGCTGCTGAAGGAAGGGACAGGCAGAGAGCCGAGGGACTTTGGAGGAGAGGAGGCTACTTCTAGAGGGAGGGGGAGACCAAGGCTTCCTGGTACAGCACCCTTTGCTGGGCCTGGAAGGGTGAGGTGGAGGGGAGGGACCTCTGGAGCCTTGGCGGGAGTAGGAGCAGCTATACTGGGAAGAGTGGACCTGAGCCGGCTGCTGGAGCCTGGCCCCCAGCCGTGGACGGCAGCAGGAAGGGAGGCAGCAGGTCTGGGAGTGCAGCAGGGGTGGGGTCAGAGGGCCCCAGGCAGGGAGGAGCAGGCTGGGGGGAGAGCTAGGAAAGTGGAGGTGGGGGGGGCGTGCCGAGTTTGGCCCCCACAGTGGCAGGGGCAGTCCTCCGGGAGGACGCACAGCTTTTGCTCCCTGGACTCGGTTTGCATTCTGCCTCTCCCATGCTTGTTAACCCTTGGGGACCACCCTCCGGCAGGCTCCAGCCATGGGGACCACCCCCTCCCCTGCTGCTGGCCTGGCCCAGCCCCCAGAGGGGTTTTGTGTAGCTAGTTCACCGAATAACACCATTGCTGACACATTTCTAATTTTGAAATAGAGTATATATCGATCACATATGTAGCATGTTATTGTGAACGTTTATTTCCCAGATATAGATTTGTTTTCCTAATTTGTTTACTTAGTTTCCTTCCTCTTGAGCTTTTTAAGGTGGGTTTTTTAAAGTCACTCATCTAGGGAACTTTTATTTCCTATTTATATTAATTGTTAAATTACCTTAATTTATTTAGACACGAGTCATTTAGTTTCTTCTTTTGGCCTCCTTCCTGCAAATCTTACATGTGGATTCATTTAGCTCTTTGGCACCTACTTTCACGTTCAAACACATTTGGCGAGATTTTGACCAGAGAGTAAGGAGATGGGACCTTTTGGTATGATTCCATGATCGCAGGTGATGCTGGATTGAGAGACTCTGACAGTGCACACGCTCCCCCCGTGTCAGTGCTGGAGAGTTTCACGTCAGCGTGCGAGGCTGCCTTGCCATGTTCATTCTGGCTGCTTAGTCCTGAAGATAAGCAAACTCGGGTGGTCCGAGGTGGGCGTTGGAGCCTGGTGGGCAGGCACGGGTCTGGGGTGACCTGGGACGGCTTTGGGCATCCTTGGGGACATGAACGAGTGCATGAACTTTCTTTAATGGCCTGGGTGGATGCCAAGGGAGGAGCTCACACGCGGTGACCCAGTGGGGGACTGCCACACGATATGGGGGCCGCGGAAGAGCCCGCAGTGCAGGGAGGTGCTCCCTCAGGGCACTTGGCTGCTGCAGGGGAGCCCCGGTCGACCTGGGAACGAACACTGGGTCCTGCGAGGGAAAGCAGCCACCTCCCTGGCATCTGTGGGTCAGGCTGCTGCCGGCACAAACCTCCAAAGGGGCAGGGTCATGAGAGTAGGAAGTTCACTTGCAGGGGTCACAGCGTTTCTGTTAAAATGTCAGACTCACTCAAGTTAGCATGTGTGGTGCGTTCCCCCTCCTTCCCATTTCTGGGTGGGTGACTCACTCAGGACCCTTGACTATAAATCCCAAAGACCCAACTCCAACTAGCGTAAGCACAAAGGGGACTCTGGACCTGGCACCGTGGGAATCAAAGCAGTGGTTCAGGTATGGCTGGGTCCAGCAGGTGACAAGGCCGTCGGGATCGCGTACCTCCATCTCTCGGCTCTGCTCAGCATCATTCTCAGGCTGTTGCGGTGGCGGCAAGGTGGCCATTGGCCACCCCAGGCAACGTGGTTCTCACGGGGAAGGAGTGTAGTTTTCAGTAACTCTGGTGAGAGCCCAGGGAGGACTTGGGCTGCTGGGCCTGGTCACACACCCAGCCCCGACCTGGGGATGTTCTAACGGGTTGGCCCAGCTGGGTTGGCCCAGCTGCATTCACAGCGTGGAGGGGGAGGGGCCGGTTTCTCCCACCTGGAAGGACTAGGCGTGATTTCCCTGGCTGAGGAGAGGACTCACTCTCAAAGAGAGAAATGCTGGGCGGGCACGCGTGTGGCCGTTACGGAAGGCCCGCAGAGGCCCTAGCCTTGGCGCACAGGCGCACGGCTCTCTGGGGGCAGGGGACAGCTGTGAGGGTGCATCTGTCTGGCAGCGCCCAGCATGCCCGTCGTCCTCAGTTGTGCAGAGCAGGCACGCTCAGGCCTCCCCACAGCCGCAGGTCTGGTCTGCCCTGGGCCTCCAAACCGAGCCAGCCTCCCGTGCAGCGAGCCACTGGGGAGCACGTGGAAGCCAGCCTCTTGCCACTGCGATTATTCCAGGGCTTTGTCCCAAGTCCCCGCCAGTCACTGACATCAATTCTCATGTCTCTTTGGCCTCCAGTCCCTGGATCCACAAATCTGGCTCTGGTGCTTGCATTTGGCCCCATCCCTGCTGAAGTTTGAGTCTCTTTTCTAGTTGCTTGACTTAGCCCAGGGCTCATCTTGATTTTGGTGCCCCCTGCTCTTGCCAGCTGTGGGCCTACCAGGGAAGGGCAAAGCGGCCAGGCTAGGCCTGCCAGAGCAGACTCCTCCTGAACTCAGAGCGCATGCTCAGGGCGAAGGGCCAGCGGGCTCCCTGCACACCTGGCTCTGCGGTGGCTCCTTTCTGCAAACTCAGAGGCGACCTACATCACATTCTTCTCTTTGATACATATCAGTGTCACACATCGGCACTTCTCAACGCTTACAGATACAGAATCTTGTCTTCAAGTGAAATCTTTCCTGAAGGCCTAATATACGACGTAGGCAAGAGCCGAGTTGCTCTGGGTTGGATGGGCCTATACCCCCCTTTACGCCTCCCTACTCCACGTTAGCGCCCCAGAGAGGTGCATGGCACCCCTTGGGCTCCTGGGAACCCAGTTTGAGAACCCCTGTGTGTGTATTTGTCCCTCTTAGTAGCACCCGCTTTTGTTCTCCATGGGGGACAGGTGGCCAGAGGTGGTGTTTTTCTTATCACTACATTTCCTCTGTCATTACCTTGTTTGTGCTGTGAAAAGGTCAACACGGAGATCCTTGTCCTCTTCCTTCTCACGATAAGCAGGTGTCACGGTGCAAGTCTGCCGCAGCGACGCGGAGGCTCGCTTCATTACCCTCGTCCTCCTCCTCCTCGAGCTGCATGCGGGAGGTTCTGTTTATGCCATTGGTCACGTTATCTGTGTCCCAGTTTACCTTCTTCCTGGGAGCTACACCCAATGCTTGGGTGGGTGTCCCAGCCCCGGCAGCCGAGGCTTCAGGAAGTTGTGGGGTGCTGCTGTCCCGTGCGTGCCTGCTGCCTGGAGTAAATGTTTTGGGTGCCTTCCCATGAAATAGATCCTTTCTAACAAAGTCTTGGAAAGTCATAAAAGTGGCCAGACAAAAAAAAAACCCAAAACAGACAAAAGCCACCAAAAAGAATGCAAACGTTCCCAAAAGAGAGGCCTCTAATAAGAAACATCCTGTGTGTGTTCACTTTTAGAAGACTGCATTGTCCTGGGAACTGGTCGCCAGCAGACGGTCCATGGGCTGGCCTTGGCCAGGCTTCCGTCCACCGAGGAGAATCCAGGCCTTGGTTTGGCTCCAGCTGGGCTTTCCTGGTGGCTGCCACTTATTGACTTAAGTCTGAGTGATTCAGATCCTCATCAGGGTCGCCCCTGACAACTGTGGGGGGAGGGAGAGTGACCAACCTCCTCCCGGCAGGGGCAGCAGCAGGGGCAGGCCCGGGAGAAGCCCCCCTCGGTTCCTGGTAGGTGTCGGGGGTCTCTGGCTCCGAGGGGACTGGGAGGTGACTTCTGCGTTTCCCGGAGCCAGGGGCCCAGTGCGTGCAGGGCTCTGCCAGAACTTGCCTAACTCCCGGGGGTGGGTGCGTTGTCTGCGCTGGGAGGGGGCGGGTTAATGGTTGACTGGAGATTTGCTCTTCCTGGTTGCCCTGGGTCCTGCTGCTTCAGAGGAAGTAGCAGCAAGGGTCTGAGAAGATCTGGGAGGGTCCCGGGCACATCCTCGACAGTTTCTACACTTTCAGCACCTTGCTCTGAGAGACCTCAGTGGATAGAGATTGATTTGGGGGCAGCATGAAGGGCATGTGTGTTTTGGCAGAAAGTTGGACAGCAGATGGGTTTAGGGACAGGCAGAGAATGAATGGGACCATGTTAACATGACGGAGCAAAGTGGAACGTTCTATTCCACAAACACTTTTATTGCATGGCATGTGACGTGTAGGCGCCGGAAGAGGGGCTGCAGGATCTTTGTCCCCACACACTATTTGGGGTCAGCCAGGACAAGGCTGTGTGAGACAGGACCAGAAAACAAGGGCCAGAAGGAAGCAAAAATGAAGTGCCACCCTGACCAGTGTCGCTCAGCTGTTTGGGTGTCGTCCCACAAAGTGAAACGTCACCAGTTCGATTCCCAGTCGGGGCTCGTGCCTGGGTTGTGGGGCGTGGTCCCACTGGTCTGGGCGCGTATGAGAGGCAACTGATGATGTTGCTCTCTCATATCGGTGTTTCTCTTCCTCTCTTTGTCTCTCCCTCCCTCCCTCTAAAAATAAATAAAATCTTAAAAAATAAAATAATAAAGTGCCAAGGCAGCATTTCTTAGAGTGTGAGAGGATTTGAAGTATATTATACAGTAATATTAAATATAAATATAAGCAGTTAAAACATTTTAATGATTATGTGTTTATTTTCATGTATATTAGAACATAACTTTTTTCTTCATTTGCCTTCTGTTTATGGCAGATGTTAGAGTTTTCTGTTTATGGTGGAGATATAAATTTTCCTTTGAAATATATTGAAGTAAAAGAGTGAGTTGACTTAAAGGAAAATGGTAACTAACAAATAGTACGGAGGCCACATGGGAGCCATTGAAGATGCTTGAGGAGGGGGTGGTAATGACTGTCCTTGAGTAGACTCACTTATTTGTAGTGGGTACACAGCCTAGAAGCCAGATGACCAGTCGGGGGCTGAAGGAAGGAGTACAAGAGGCCAAGCTGGGGCCATGGCCAAGCAGGAGCAGACCAGCTCCCCAGCCTGCCTCCACGGGCTCCTGTGACCGCCTGCAGACGCTGGAGAGAGGCAGGCCTGGGGTGGACGAGCCCAGCCTTGGTCTCTCTGCGGGGAGGCAGTGGAAGCTGGGCAAGGGTGCAGGTCAGAGGGGGCCTGGAAGGGAGGTGCCCGGTGGCCTCTTCCAGGTGTCTCCTGGCCGGCTGTGGAATGTTCTGGGGGAAGTGGGTAGGGTTGGCTGAAGGAAGCTCCTCTCTGGGCCAGCACATGCACCCACCGAGTTCCTGCAGGAGGAGGAAGCACGCAGTTTCCTGCCCCAAGTTTGACGCAGGCAGCCTGGCTGGGGTCCCCAGGCCCAGATTTCGTTCATCAGCAGGGCCTGCGGTCATCCTGGGTCACAGGTTTCTTTTCTTTCTTTCTTTTTTTTTTAACTCTCCTGTGTCCTCCTTATAGTGCAGAGTTCACCAGAGGTTCAGAAATGGGCTTGGTTTAAACAACAGTTGGGTTTTTTCCTAGGTTTTTTTCCCCTTTGAGGGTCTACTGTGTGCTGGGCACCGTGTGTGGTGCTTTTGCTCTGTTATCAGAGTTCATCTTTTGAGGGAGGTGTTCTTACCTCCATTGTACACAAGAGGAAACAGGGTGTGGGGAACGTGAGTCCCACAGCTGTACCTTTGGAGTTAGCGGAGCCCGATTCCAAACTCGCACACCGGTACTGGCTGTAGGCATGAGGCCGTGGACAAGATGTGCAACTTGAGAGAAGTCACTCGCTGTCCGTTTTCCCTCGTCTGGGGGTGGGGCCGCACCCTGCAGTGCGCTGCGGTGCTCTGCAAATGGGGGTACTGACGGCGCCCAACAGCCTTGTGGGGGGACTACCTGAGCTATGATGGGTGCAAGGTGCTATATAAGTGTTAGCTGCTGTTACTGCTGTTATGACACAGAACTGGAGTTTGCATAATCCTGAACATAATTTTACCAGAAGATACTTTGCGAAGGCTATCACTTCGGGCGGGCGAGAAGCGTTGTTTTAAAATAACGTCTGTGGTGCAGAATGATATCGGAGGCATCCCGCCTGTGGGCTGGCTGTGTGTGGCCACAGTCCTGGTCCCTGGGTGTTGGGGGATGTGGATGGAGGGTCAGGGGGCGTCTGGGTTCCGTTTCCTCTGCCATTGGCCTTACTTCGGTGAACACTTGAGAATCAAGGGGCGCCGTGCTGTGTTCCTGGGCTCCCAGGAGGCCCCCTGTCTGATCTCGGCAGCCCAAGTTGGTGCCTGGGAGCTTCGTGTCCTAATTACCTGTGACCTTAGCTGGCTGCTCAGAGTTCCTTTCCATCTCTAAAATTCCGAGAGGCCTCTTTCTTTCTGGCAGGCCTGCCAGGAAGACTCTGTTCCTGGAATGCCTGCCTACTGCCTGCCAAGTCCCTGCCTTTTCCGTTTAGCCCTCCACCCAGGCTCCCCTCTCTGAAGCCCTCCGGGATTGCTGCAGAGCGAACTCCTGCCTGCGCCTTCCCTTTGCTCCCACTGTTCTTTGTACAGTCCCCGCGTTGATTAGAGCCAGTGTCTGATGCGTCCAGGATTCATCCTGTTCGTGTGCAGCCCGCTCTGAGTATTCACTGCAGAGAAAACAGAGGCGGCCCCCGTCCCTGTGGCCTTGCAGAGAGTAACCAGTCCACAAAGAAAGAAATGCACACGTGCCAATCATGATGCACGCGATGAAGAAAAAGAATCAAGAGCTATTATTTGCTGACCTCAGTCTTCTGCGCTAGGCTGTGTCGCCTGTGAGGCTGCGTGGTGGAGACGGACAGGGTGTTCAGGGAATAAAGGCCCGGACGGTACATGCTTTCCTCATTTGCTAATGGGGATGATAAGAGCAAATCAGGAATAGACACAAAAGCATTTTGAAGGGTGTGACATATTATACAAATGTCATATTAGTAGTATCACCAGGTTCCTTCTGTCTGTCTGAAGAAAATTTAAAAAATTTTTCCATTGCCTTGATAGTCTTTGACGTCTTTATTTTTTTTTAAAGATTTTATTTATTTGTATTTAGAGAGTGGGGAAAGGAGGGAAAAAGAGGGAGAGAAACATCGATGCACGAGAGATATATCTGTTGGTTGCCTCTCGCACACCCCCAACTGGGGACCTGGCCCACAACCCAGGCGTGTGTCCTGACTGGGAATCAAACCAGCAGCCTTTCAGTTCGCAGGCCGGCGCTCAGTCCACTGAGCCAAACTAGCCATGGCATGTTTGACTTTTTTAAAAAGCAGTTTTAGGTTTATAGAAAAAATTGAGTGAAAAGTACAGACATCCTGAATACCCTGTTACCTCCCCCAGCCCCCCATTATTAACATCTTGCACTGATGTGGTACATTTGGTACAATTGATGAGCCGGTATTGATACATTATTGTTAACTAAAGTCCATAGTTTACATTAGGAGTTGTTCTTGGTGTTGTACATTCTCGGGGTTTTGACAAATGTATAATGACATGTTTCTTGCATTATAATATCATACAGAATATCAGTTTGACTGCCCTGAAAATCCGCTGAGGTGCACCTGTTCTTCCTTGCCTGTCTCCACCCCCAAACCTTTGATCTTTTTACTGTCCCCATAGTTTTACCTTTCCCAGACTGTCATAGTTAGATTCATACAGGGTATGGCCATTCAGATTGGCATCTTTCACTTAGCAATATGCACTTAAGATTCCTCCATGTCTTTTCATGAGTGGATAGCTCATTTTTATTGCTAAATTTATTTCACTGTTTAGCTCCACCACAGTTTATTTATCCATTCAGCTACTGAAGGACATCTTGGCTGCTTCCACATTTGGCAATAATAAATAAAACTGCCATAGACATCAGTGTGCCATTGTGTGTGTGTGTGTGTGTGTGTGTGTGTGTGTGTGTGGACATGAGTTTTCGGTTCTTTGAGTACATACTAAGGAGGACAGTTGCTGGGTTGTACGGTAGGAGTGTGTTTAGTTTTGTGAGACACTGCCTTCCAGCGGGGCTGTACCAGTTTACATCAAATGAGAGTTCCTGTTGCTCCACATCTTTGTCAGCATTTGCTATTGTCAGTATTCTGGGTTTTGGCCACTCACTTTAATTTTAATTGTGATTCATGAATGACATATGACATTAAGCACCTTTTTGTATGTTTATTTGTTACCTGTGTGTCTTCTTTGGTGAGATCTAGTCAGAACTTTTGCCCATTTTTTAACTGGTGGTTTGTTTTCTTATTTTTGAAAAAAAAACAGTGTTTCCCCCATTTAGAATCCTATTCATTGCCTCAGACTTCTCTGAAAGGATAAGAAAAAAAGATTGTGTATGTGGGGGGGATCCACATGGGAAAAGGCCCCCCAACCCACATAGTTCTGTTAAGGATCAGGAAGTTGGGATTAAGAGCTTGGGCTTGGAGTTCAAATCCTGCGCTTTGCCAATTACTGTGTGACTTTGGATAAATCATTTACCTCTTGGAGCCTCAGTTTGGTTACCTGTGAGATGAGGGTGTTAGGACCTGCTGTGAAAAATAAAGGAGACGATTCTACACAGCGCTTGGCACCAAGCGTGGAACAGACGTACGTTCACTTCCCCTCTGTGACATCGTGTGGTTCCCTTGTCTCCTAGTCTGTGAGACCCCGCAGGCCCCGAGAGCCCGTTTGTCCCTGCAGTGCAGCGGGGGTGCGTGTGCATGTGGGGGGCGTGCCCTGCCCCGCAGGCACCCACTGCCCAGCCTCAGCCCTTCCCAGGGCGC